GGAATTTACTTTGTAGGCAGCAGAAAATCCCACTGATGTTTGCTCAGATAGGCACAGGTCAGGCTGGTAGCTGTCCTAGAGTGTGGGGAGGGCCACTCAGATAAGACTCAGCTCCATGATGGAACTCCCATCCTGACGGAATGGGCAGGGACCGCCAGGTTCCAAAAAGAGACGAAGGTGACTGGCTGGTGACTGGTGTCTGAAAAGACGAGTAAGTTGTTGGGCTCAGTGAGTGCCTGTCCTCGCTCAGGCTGATCATCTCTAAGAAGGAGCGAATGCTGCAGAAGGGCTCCGGCTTCCACCTGGACCTGCTGCTCATCGTGGCCATGGGCGGCATCTGTGCCCTCTTCGGCTTGCCCTGGTTGGCTGCTGCCACTGTCCGCTCTGTCACGCATGCCAATGCGCTCACTGTCATGAGTAAGGCTGTGGCACCGGGGGATAAGCCCAAGATCCAGGAGGTCAAGGAGCAGCGGGTGACGGGGCTGCTGGTTGCCGTGCTCGTGGGTATGCTCACCTCTTGTCCCTACCCTTCCAAGAGGGGTCTCCAGGCCACTGGGGGTGGGGAGCCCCTGGCCAACTGTTCCTCTTCCTCCTCCCCCAGGCCTCTCCTTGGTCATCGGGGATCTGCTCAGGCAGATCCCCCTGGCTGTGCTCTTTGGTATTTTCCTGTACATGGGAGTTACCTCCCTCAATGGGATCCAGTTCTATGAGCGGCTGCACCTGTTGCTCATGCCACCCAAACACCACCCAGACGTCACCTATGTCAAGAAGGTGAGAGCTGGCTCGGAAGGGCCCCGGGCCTCTGCCCTCTCCTGGTCTGTGCTGGTCACCCTCCAGCCCCCCAGCTACTCGCTTTGGCCAGCAACTGTTCAGTCTGTGCAGACCTGGCCCTGGGAAGCACCAAGAAGGCACTTCTGTCCCCTCCCCTGTGGAGGGGAGAGGGCTTATCCATCCTTTGGCAGGCCCAGGTGGCCCTCTGGGGACCAGGGTCCTTGGAGGCTGGGGAGAAGCCTGGGCTCACCTATCTCGCCCTGCCCCCACTCCCAGGTTCGGACCCTCCGAATGCACCTGTTCACGGCCCTGCAGCTGCTCTGCCTGGCCCTGCTCTGGGCTGTCATGTCCACAGCTGCCTCCCTGGCCTTCCCCTTCATCCTCATCCTCACGGTGCCACTCCGCATGGTAGTGCTCACCCGGATCTTCACCGAGCGAGAGATGAAATGCGTAAGGCCTCCCACCGTTCCTCCCCAGCCCCGCAGGCCCCCTCCACGGTCCTTGCCAAGAGTTCACGGTCAGTGTCAACCATCCTCTGTCCTCCCCCCACACAGCTGGATGCTAATGAGGCGGAGCCGGTGTTTGATGAGCGGGAGGGTGTGGACGAGTACAATGAGATGCCCATGCCCGTGTAGCTGCTACCTGGACGGACAGCTGAGGAGCGGACGGACAGAGGGAACGGGCTGGGGGTGCTCTCCTCATCCTCCTCCCTCCTCATTTTTATTTAAGTGAATAATTTAAAGTCCCCCTCCCCACTCCTCGCAGTAAAGTGCTTCGGCCCCCACCTGTCCTTGGCCTTCTGTCTGTACGTGAGCGTGTGTGTTGTCCAGGCATGAATGGAAAAGAGGTGGGGAAACGCAGCCCACTCTATCCCAGAAAGGAGAAGTGCAGTGGGGAAGGAAAGGGGCTTTAATGACAAATCAAAACAGAAGGAGCCAAAGTGCAAATTGTCCACCCCCCATAGGGGGGCCATCCTGAACCCTGTGTCTACCCCCTCAACCCCCTTCAGGCCCCCAGCGGAGGCCCAAGGCCTGGAGCTTCTGCCTCAGGTAGCTCTTGAGCTGGGGCAGACCTCTCTGTGACTCCAGTTCCTCGAAGGGTAGCTGCAGGGGGAGAGAACAACAGGTTATCCTTAGGGCCTGCGGGGGGGTGGGGGACAGTGAGGATGCACACGAAGTGTCCCGAGGTGAGGGGAGGGGATGGGCGAGGCCCTCACCGGCAGGAGCTGGTAGCCCATCAGACCCAGGTGCCGCTCCCGCAGGGCCCGGGAGCCCAGCAGCACTCTGCCGTCCCTGCAGTAATGCCAGCGTTCCCGCAGCATCAGCACCACTCTAGAGAGGAAGCGACTGCGGCTCAGAGTCGTTGTGCACCCAGGCAGCTGAGGCTCTCCCATCCTCTCCCCTTACCTTTGGGCAGGGTCACGGGTTGTGTGGGGACAGGACCTGGGAGGATATGGTAGGAAGGGGTCCTGGGTTCTCACAGGAAGCACAGCACCAGAGCTGCTGACACACAGCAGGAAGTCTGCAGGGCAGGGAGAGAAAGAGCCACTGGTTTTTAGCAGACGAGGCTCTGTGTTCTGGGGAGCCACTAGCCCATCTGGAGCTCACCTGTGCAGTAGCCTGGAGGCACGGTCAGGTCCTGCCGATACTTCTCCTCCCCCAGGAGCTGGCGCAGTCCCTCTGCCACTATATCCTTGTGACTGAGAAGGAGAGGAACACCGGTATCAGGAAGGCCCCCAAACACTTTTCGAGCCAGGTCCCAGCTAGTTCTGCACCCCTGGGAAACACCTTCACTGCTTCGCTCTCTTTATGACTGCTGAGAGGGCATCAGCACGGACAAGTGCCGGTCCCCCAGGCTTTGCTACTCTGTGCTTCTTGTGGACCAGTCCCCTTCCCTTCCCTCCCCCAAGCTGCCCCATCCACCTGTACTTGCAGCGGGCACGGTCGGTGATGAGAGGCTGGGGGAATATGGGCACTTGCTGCCTTCGGGGAAGGCGGGGACCCCGGTATCCTGGGAGCTCCAGCTCCACGGCCGTGTCTAGCAGGGAGAGGTAGCGCCGCACAATCAGGGCATGGGGGGTGCCTGCGGGAGAGCAGGACCGAGGCTTACTGGGCCGCAGACCCCCACCCTGCTTTCCCCTGCCCACTGGCCCTCCGGGACCCAGCCAGCCCTCCCGTTTGCGCACCACTGACGTGGCTGATGAAACCTGGGGAGAAGACAAAGTGCAAGGCTCGGAAGGGCAGGCACCGCAGCTGGCACAGTGACATCAAGATGTTGACAGTTGCCAGGGGGGCCACCCCTGCTTCCCGAGCCAGGATCCTCTCAAGGCAGGGCATAAACTGCTGTTCCAGAGGCAAGTAGTTCAGCCGCCCAAAGGGTAGGACCAACTTCTGTACCACCTGCAGAACAAGAGCAGCCCACCACCCAGCAGGAAATGGTCAACATTCTTTACAAGGTGAACCTCAGGGAGGCTTGGCCTGTAAGCTTATAATGTCCCTGTCCAGGCAGAACAATCCCTCTATTCGACACACACCAAAGGTTCGACAGCATAAGCAGTGCTTGAGCCCCAAGGGATTAGTTGCCAAACAAGCAGAGGAGACATCGCTGTGAGATCTGGCCCTGAACACTTAGAAAAGTGGGATCAGTGAAGCTAAGACAGTGTGCTAAGAGTGCTTGGGGAACTGTTGAGAACCGGGCATCTGGGCTGGGGAGTTGGACAAGTCAAGGAGAGCGTGAGCCAAGATGGAACCCCTAGGGGACAGAGCAGAGAGCCTAGCTAGCTTGTCTGCTGCAGGAAGAAGCAGCCAATCAAGCTGGTTGGGGGCTAGTGGGTATCCAAGGATGACTAGGAGGGGAGATTGGGAAGGTGGAAAGTAATCCCACCTTGCTATTGAGCTGGGCTTCCTGGACCACCAGGAAGTGGGCAATGGCTTCCAGGAGACGGGGTTCCCGCAACCGGTGGCGGGCCAGGTGCTGGGCCAGGAGCACCATCACATGGGGAGTCAGTTCCTCTGGCCTGGCCTCTGTGAAGAACAGCTTATCACACTGGGCCCTTGGCCCAGACAGTACCACCTGTGTCCTCAGCTCCCCTCCCGCCCTCCCACCTTTAACCCCCTCCAGCACCTGCCAGGCTGCGGATGAGGTGCTGCTGCGGATGCCGCAGGAAATGGGGGCAGCTCAGAGCAGCTTCCAACGTTTGCCCACCACGAAGGACAGGTTGCAGAGGGGGAGGTGGCTTCGGAGGGAGGCGGAACCTTCGCTCCTGCTCCAGGGCACATACCAGGGCCCCATCTGAAGGGAAGCCTGAGAGGGAGAGGGTCAAAGGAGGCAGTCTGCGTAACAAGGAGTTGCTCTGCTCTGCTCCAGTCCTGGAGTTTAGTTAGTGAATTCCCAACCTTTCTAATCTGTTTTTTGAGCTGGAAGGTTTGCTATAGGAAATGTGTGAATACCAGAGAAATGTGAAATACCATGTGAACTAAGGTATCGGAAAGGTCAGTGGGGAAGGCCTTATACAAGGAAGGCAAATAAGTTCTCCTCTCTTGCCAATGGTGACAAATTGCAGTGGCTTCCTAGAGCACTGTATTAGAAGGGATACAGGGTAGCAACCTAGCTAAGCTGCAATGAATGCTGCTTGACTCATGATGTCTGCAGTGAACATGGGGGAGCAGCAACAAGTGTGTCAGGGTATGTGCCGTTTCTGGAAAAGCCTGGGAGGTGGGCTTTGATCTGTCAGTGATCTCGGGTCCCCCACTATTCTCCTTTTCGTCCCACTAACAACCCCCACCCCCATAACACCCCTCCTCCAACCAAGTAAGACTGCAAGATGCAGACACACGTGGATGGTGTGAATGTCAAAGGAGGGGCAGTTTCGGATGATGAGCTGACTCAAGTCCTGCAGTGTGGCCTGCTCCACAGGAGGGGGCCGTGGCTGAGACCCCAAGAGCTGGCCCAGACGACGAAGTGCCACAGGGTAGTGGTGGGCGCGCACCTTGGTAGGGTTCTGGCCCAGCCAGCGCAGCAGCTCCCCAGGGCTCCTCGCCTGTTCCAGAAGCCGCTGCAGCCCCTGCACAGGGCCTGCATGGGGGCCTCCTCCAGGAGGCCGGTCCCCCCACTTGCTGGGCCCCAGACAGCAGGGCTGTACTGGTGGGAGCAGCAGCAGGCCAGACAGCCGAGCACTGGAGGCCTGGGCAGAGAGCAGGACTCGAAGCATGGAGTTGGGTGATGGAGACCCTGAGGGGTGGCCCAGAAAAGGGGGTGAGGTTTTCTCCAAAAGGGAGAAAGACCAGCTATATGCTCCTCACCTCACTTCCCATCCAGTGGGGCCTGGGATCAGAGTAACCCTTTGTGACTACTCTGGTCCTCATCCCAACCTATCCCAACCCGCCCCTCTCTGCCTCCTTCCATCCTTTGAAATAGCAATAGTAATCCTTCAGTCTTCTCAGCGCAGGGATATTTACAAAGCAATTCCACATGCATTATCTTCTCTGATCCTCCTTACACGCCTATGAAGAGGTAGGCAGGAGTGGCACTACCTCGATTTCACAGGTGGAAAAACCAAGGCCCAGAGAGGCGAAGGGTTTAAGTTAAGCCCGAGGTCACGAGTCTGGTTAGTGGTCGCGCCCAGCCTGAAGCCCAGCTCGCCCCGACGATACGCCCTCCCGACCACCTCCCCCTCCCGCAGGAGGCGGCGGCGGCACGGGGAGTGGAACGCGGGCTCCGTAACCGGACGGTCCTGGGTTCCATGCTGGGTGCTCCCACTTACCAGCTGCGTGACCTTGGACAAGTGGCTTCGTCTCTCTGCCCAAGCCGCCTCGCCCGTGAAACGAGGACACGGCGCCCAATTCGGAGGGCGCCCTTGGGCGCAGCTTTGCAACGGCGCGGAGTCGGCAGTGTCAGAGGCCCCCACACCCACCCGGGGATGCCAGGAGACCGTGGTCACCGTCGCCAACACCAACTCCCGCCGCCCTCCCGCAGCCCGCCCCGCAGGCACCACCCCTACATGGCTCCCCAGGCCCCGCGTAGGTTGCTCCCTCAGTCGGTCTCGGGGCCCGGGAGCCGGGCTCCCCCCGCGGCCTCCTCATCGGCAGGCCACCGAGTCCGCCATCTTCCCAGCAGCCCCCGGATCGCCGCCTAGACACCAATCGCGGCAGAGTCCTCAGCCAGCAAGACGTGGCTCCCGTCAAGCCCCGCGCGCCCCGCCCCCTGCTTCCGGGAAGCTGCGCGAGCGGCGCCGGGGCAGGGTCGGGGGCGGAGATGGGGGCGGGACCTGGGCGGGGCCAAAGAGCTAGGCGCTGAGGCTGGGGCGAAAAGGAGGGGAAGTCAGTGGCAGGCCTGGGAAGGTTGGGCGGGGTGAAGTGCCTGGTCTGCACCCTTCATTCCTCTCCCAGTGGGCAAGAGCTCCCCGCCCTCACGGGCCAACACACTCAGACACACACCAAGAGTGAAAACTTCACAGTTATTTAATCTGCACGTGTTCCAGAGGACCACCCCCCAACCCCCATCCCCCACTCCCTTTTTCCAGCCCCTCACAGTCTTTGGGTCCCTAAATCAGCCCAAGGAGCTATCAGGGACTAGAGGTGGCTGGGTCCTCAGGCAGAACACTAAGAAGGGCCCAGGGGCGTGGCCCGACTCTGCCCAGGCCCAAGGCAGCGACAGCAACTGTCTGACCCGGGGGAGCCAACTGTCAATGGGGGCTGAGGGCCTGCAGCCCTGGCAGGTGGCCCAGAGCCATGGAGGTCACAGGGAGGGGTCTCCGCTGGCTCCTCGAGTGCTCTGCGACGTAGAGCTGGGCTCCAGGGTAGTGGGAAGAGGCAGGTCGGAGAGGCAGGCCTGGGCAGACAGCAGCTCCCACCATGTCGTGGGGAGCAAGGTCCGGAGGGGCCAGCAACGCTGCCAAGAGCCCGTGGAGGCACTACGGGCGGTACATGGCAAAGGCGAGGAGACTGAGGAGCAGGGTGAAGCCGGCCAGACCCAGAGTGGCCGTCAGGGGAAAGAAGGGCCGATACTGGATCTGGCAGTACCAGAGCAGCAGGAGCAGCAGGAGCAGCAGGGGCAGCAGCAGGCTGCCTACTTCCAGCCCGGAGGGGCCTGGCTCTGACCCCGGTGGGCAGGGTGGGTGTGGGGGGCCCACCCGTGTGGACACGTGGCAGTGGAGAACACAGTTGGGGGGGAGGTGAAGGCTGCCCAGGGTCTGGGTGTCGTCTCCTAGCAGCTGCCCTTGGTAAATGAGTCGCACATGCTGTTCCCGGCCGGGAAACTGGGTCCTGAGGAGAGAGGGACCTGGGTAATAGAGCAGGCCTCAAGCAATCCTGGCCTCTTGCCCAGAACAACTGCCCCTCCCATCTCTGTCCTCCACCTACCACCCAGGTCAGGGCCTCCAAGGGGGCCCCTCCTGCTTCAGGGAAACAATACAGTGTGTGATTTGGGGACCTCAGTTCCTCATCTATAAGATGAGAGGGCAGGCTCAGATATCTCTGGTGGCCCTTGCCGGTCTGTGATCATTCCCACCCTACTGTTTGGCCTTTCGTTCCTGTCCTCTTCCCAGCTTACCTTTTCAGGGAGCCAATGGTGTCGTGGGGCCAGGCCCTGGCCACCTGCTCTGAATCGTTGAGGAATTTCAGCCGTAGCACTAGGGGCTCCTGGGGCGAGTCTTGGGGTGGCGGTGTTGCTGGGAGACCCATGCCAGGCTCTGGCTGTGCAGCCTGACTTCTGTGTCTCAGGCTGGGGGTCTCAGCTCCTGGGGCCTCCCCTCTGATGCTGTCGGTGACCGCCATGGCTTCGCTGGGCTGTGTTGGTGTTGGGGCCCCCGACGGCTGAGGCAGTGAATCGGAGCCCTCGGCAGTGTGCGTTGAGACCCAGGCGAGAGCCAGCACCAGAAGGCAGGCAAGCACCGCGAAAAGAATGGTCACCTCATCACCTACCCCTTCAATCAGGGCCATGGCACCTGCCTTGCCCGCTGCGCTACCGAGCTGGAGAGGCACAAAGAACTCATGAGGGACTGGCTCACCAGCTAAGAGCCCTCCCAACTTCAGGGGGCTCCTGAACCCACCCCACTACAACTCTCCGGAAGTACTAATTCCCCGGCATGCTTACCTAAGCTCCACCCTGGCGCACAGACTGCTCTGACTCCTAGTCGCCCCAAACTTGCATCGTATGCCCCTTCCCATGACCAGATCCCAAGTCCTAATTTTTTATAACCTGAGCTCTAGGTCTTTAACCAGCTCCTTAATTCACCCAAATCCTATTCCGAGGTCAGGGCTTTCACCTTCTAAGCAACCTCTCTCCTAGTTTCAACCCCCAACAAACTTCACCCCAAAGCTCACCTATTCTTCCCGTTTAGTTCACCCCAAAGTTTACCCACTCCGTCTATTTCATCCAAAGCTTATCTACTCCTCCGTCGCAAAAGTTCCTCCAAGGAGGAAGGAAAAAGGTCTCTGTGCATACATACATACACAGACACACAGACACGCGTGCGCTCTCATCTTGCCCCGTTACCATTTACCCAAACCCCAACCCGCGGCACAGGTCTGATTCTCAAGGCTTCCCCACATCAAACGTCAAACTGTGCCCTTTGGCAAACTAGAGCCTCCGAAGGTTGCCACCCCTCGCTCAACTCGGCCCATCCTGGTCCACTCAAACCCCACCCCAAGGTGGCCCGACCCCAAGCCTCCTCTGGGGGCCTATCCAAACCCAGCCTGCAGCAAGACCCCACATCTCGCCCGGGAATCCGAAGTCTTCGCTCTCCCCAACTCCATCCTCCATCACCCATCCCATCTTCCCGCCCCGCAACCCCCGAGCGGCGAAGAGCAACGGCGATCCCAGGGCGGGGCCAGCGGGGGCCAGCTGGGGGGGACATCGGGGTGGGCGCGGTCAAGGAGCAGGGACTCACCGCCTGGCTCAGCCAGCTCCATAGCGGACCCTGGGGCACTTCCGGGCGGGAGGCGCGGAGGTCGCAGACACCTGAAGACACCCCCCCCTTCCTCGTCGCCACCTCCGCCGCCGCCCGGAACATTGTGGGACTTGTAGTCCGGCGCGGTGCTCAGTCCCCGCCCTCTGCGCTGCGGACCCACGTGCGGGGCTCAGTTGTCTGGTCCCAGTGCCCACAAATTGCTGAGGGGTCGACAGGGGCGGGTTTGGGGGATTTGCTGGCCCCTAGAGGTTTGGGCAGCAGCAAGATCCTCCCAGTCCCCCGCGGGCAGCCAGAGCTCCTGTCACTCCGGAAACCACCGTCAGCTGGAGCTTGTCAGAGCACTTTTGAGATGCATGCAGCCTCTGGGGAGCTCAGGTGGACCCCACCCAGGCCTACTCTTTTGTCAGAGTGGAGGCCAGAAGGCATCCTGGATCCTCCAAATTGACTCTTCAGCCCAGAGCCCAGTATTCATGGGCTGCCCAACCAGGCTGGCTGAGGTCATATCTGTCTTCAGGGCTGGCCACGGTGGCTTGAGTTGCCTTATTTCACTGGTCCCCTCCTCCACTATGCCCCTGTAAGACTGTGCAAGGAGCGTGGACTTTAGAACCTGGCACAAATGCTGATCCCTTATCCTGTGCTTATCAACTGTATGATCTTGGATGTGTTATTGAGTCTCGTGGAATCTAAATTTTGTTGTTCCTAAAACATACCTCATAAGATAATTGTATGGAAGAAACTGGGTGTATTATTAAATAAGTGTGAAAACTATGTAGGGGACCTGTCACACAGCAGTTATTTGTTCACTTAGTATTAGAACACTCCCTCCACCCAAATCTGAGCTCAGAAATTGGGCCCTTAGAGTATTGCTGTATAGGGAATGCTGAGCCTCAGCCTGATCTGGGCCAGTTAATTTCCATGGGTTTTCCCTCCTTCATCTGGGCTCCTATAGCCACAGAGAACTCATCCTAAATTCCATGGGCCAGTCAATTAGAAGTAATGTACCCTAGTGTTCAGATAGCAAATGCCTACTTGTGGGAGCAAGCACTCCAAATGTTGCCTTGGGAGTGTCAGTTTAGATTTATGACATACAGAACTAACTTATCTCTAGTTCCTTCCCTCCCATTTATTCATTTATTCTAGAAATACTTATTAAATGTATACTATGTGCCAGACACTATGTGAAGTGCTGGGAGTACAATGGTGGATCAGACTCTATCCCTGCCCTCTTGTGGCTCATATATTAATAGAGGGAGACAGACAATCAGCCCACCAGTGATAAAACTGGTGTGTGCTGGCTGGTGGGACAACCCTTGTGAGGGGCTCTTTACCCTCAGATCTCTACTGGGAGGTACCTGGTGCAACTTCTTGCTGTCACTTCAAATTAAGCATCTAAAAGACATGTTAGATATTGCTTTTAGACTAAGCCAGGTGTTCTGTTCAATCACTGTATTTTGCAGATGAATCTCAGAGAGGATGCAAGACATTCTTAAGGTCAAACAGGTAGGTAGAACCCACATCTCTCAGGAGCTAGGGAGGCCACAGGTGTTGATTGGCTTAGACCAGGTTCTTTGGAAGGTACAAGAAACTTAGGAATGGTGACTGGGTTGGTCCTGGGGTAGAGCTGTATGGTAGCCAAATGGTGGGCAACTTTATGCTGGGAAAAGACTCAGCTTGGCCTAGGAAGTGGAAATGTCTGTAAAAAGGATAGTATGTGTCAACTGTGCCAGAGGACATTGGGGTGTAGCCCTGGCAGGCTGACTGGGGCCAGTGTCCTGCACATGCCACCTCTTCTGGGGTTTAGGGGTGGGTGGTTGGCAGAACTGCATACAGCTTTGGCAATGGGGTTGCAGAGGAACCAGAACATTGAAGGGAACTCCTTGGCTCCAGGAGTGGACAGGAACATGGGATGGACAAGGGAGAGAGGACAAGGAAAATTGAGACAGTCATGTGGACTCCGGTGATTGTATTGAATGGGGCGAGTAGGGGAAGAAGGCATAATAATTGATTCTTTTCTCTTCTTCCTTCCCCCTTCCATTGGGGTCCAGAAGCATTCATGAATCCTCCTCCAGTCTGACAATGGAGGTCTTTTAGGAGAGACTGGAAGATAAGAGTAGGGATGTTTAAAGTGTCATTTCCAAGAGCCCCACAGATGAGGCTCTCAGGGAGAACTGGAAGTAGAAGCCGGGAATCCAGATTTCCAGCCTCTGTGCTGCAGCCGGCAATGGAGAGTCCAGGGAGGGCCAGCGAGAGAATCCTGGGTCAGGGTGGTCTCTAGAGTTGACTTCGGGGCCCAGGGACAGGAGAGCCTGTGCTGCACTGAAGGCATGGCGATGTAAGGGAAGCGCGGCTGGGCCTAGGCTGGCGACCTTCCTCGGCCAATCAGCCGCACTCATCAGCACCCTCAGGAGCACGGCACTGTTCGGGCACCGACCAGAGATCGGACACCCAACCCAGACCAGCGCAGGGAGGCGAAAGCGACAGCCGATGCCGGCAGGAGGGGAAGGCAACCATCCCCTCTAAGCGAGTGGCCTCGCGGCGGTTGTGGGTGGGGGCTGGAGAGGAGGCGGAAGGGCC